AAATGCAATCCGAATAAATCGAGGTCTTTTTTGGTGGCCAAACCATTCAATATAAGGAGAATGTATTGTTTCTTACTAGTTTTAAGGAGGGTCACTTGCCTGTTAGATATCTGGGGTTACCTTTGGTGTCTGGGAAGTTCACTAGCAGGGAATGTGCAGTCTTGGTAGATCGGTTGACTAGTCGAATCAGAGGTTGGAGAGCTGGTAAATTGTCATATGCAGGACGACTACAACTTGTCTCCCCTGCCTTGTACTCTCTCAGCCAGTATTGGATGACCATATTTGTTCTGCCTAAGAAGGTCATTAAGTGTATTCAAAAGATCTGCTCAAACTTCTTATGGTTTGGAGAAGGCACAGGGAAAGCAAAAGTTGCATGGGATCTATTAGTTGTGCCAAAGAAAGAGGGAGGTTTGGGATTACGGGACCTTCGTACTTGGAACGTGGCTTGTATTGATCGTCTCTTGTGGCTGATGTTTCTGCAGGGGGGAGCATTTGGGTGACGTGGATAAGGCGCTACAGGCTTAAAGCTCGATCAATTTGGGAGCTGAAGCCTACTATGACATGCTCTTGGCTTTGGCGATAGTTGCTAAAGCTAAGAGGATGGTTCCAATACAGGATGACGGTTGACAACCAACAGAATGTACTTTGGGAAGGCAAGGTTATGAGAAATTTTTCAGTGCAGCAGGTCAGGGAATCGATTAGAGTTCACAAACCTTCAGTTCCCTAGTAGCAACTTATTTGGGATAGATTCACTCTTCCAAGAAATAGGGTCATAATGTGGCTGATAATTCTGAATCGCATTGTAACGAGGGATAAGCTTAAAGCTTGGGGGGAAATCTCAGATGCAGTGTGTGTGGTGTGTGCTAGGGAGGAGGAAAGTAGATATCATTTGTTTTGTGAATGTGAGTATGCTGGTAGTCTGTTTGCAGAAGTGTTTGGATATCTCTTTCGTAACTGGAAAATAGATTGGGAGCAGCTGTTGCAGGAGTTGTGTATACTGGCCAAAAAGGGTAAAGAAGGACCTGTTATTAGTGCTCTTGGGCGGGATTTGCAGCTTGGTTTGGAAAGAACGTTGTAGACGTGTGTTTGGAGAATATGCTAAACCATGGGATGTGATCTTCTCGCAATTGCGGAAGGAGATTAAGCTGTTGGCAATTGGAGATGACCGATTTCATGCAACTTTGCAGCAGAGTAGTATTGTTAGAAACTTACAATTACACTTTTAAGATTTCAGCTAGTTTCCTTGTAAGATGTATATCTGAGTTTTTGTGCAACTTGATCAAGTGAGATTAATGGGAAGACTAATTACCGAAAAAATATAATAAATAAATAAAATTGTTACTTGAGGTTGGATGATCTTAGTTTATGTTAAAGTATTTTTTTCTTAATATTTTGTGGTTAAAATGGTGAACCCGTGGACTAGTCAAGCTGGGGTGGTTCGTATGATTTCATGTCAAACAGTTAAAAAACATTGGGCCAATCCCTAACCATCCTATCAAATGAACGGAACTGTTAGTATAACTGATTTAGTCGTTCTACTGTAATTAGTTCAGTTCTTACACCAATGGTTTTTTCTTAAAGTTCAGTTCTTAGTTTTTTTAATGATTTTTATGATAACAACACAAGGTGATCACATGGCATGTGACTGTTAATCAACGGTATTGACAATTCAACATAATGGTCAATACTTGGGTTATAACTCACTTTTGGTAATAGTTTTTGCCATAATAGGATTTTGTGAAAAAAGTTAGGATAGGAATTAGCATATTAAAGAGAGATAAAATTATAAAAAATATTAACCCTTTATTTTCCATTTAATCCATCTGATAAAACACCAGGGGGTGCTTTGTTATCAGAATTACGCAGCCAACCAATCAATAGAACGATAACGATGGAAAGGTAGAATTCTCGCCACAACCGAGGTGATTACTCGATCGATAAGAGAGCTTGCCAAATGATTCTGGAATCCACTCAAAAATAGCTTCACAAGGTTCTTGAAATTAGCTACGGAATCCACTCGTAGCTAAAGACAATAGGCAAATTCTCGAGATACACTCAAGAACTCAAAACACTCACGTAGGAGCAATTTTCATTCAACACGACTTGATTCTTTACAACGTGAAATTGAAAGCTATTTAAAGGCAATACAAACCTAATAGAACTAGGAAGAAATTTAGGTAAAAACAAAATCTAAAAAGGTTACAATTTTCGGACTCAAACTCTCTTTCTTGAAGCACAAGTAAGCTACCTTTTAGCACAAGCAAACTGCAAGAAAAACAGTTTTCATACCAACTACGCGGCTTTCGTCGAAACTATCCGAAACTACAATCTTTCCTCCAATTCCTTCCCTTTGTATACAAACATACCTAGTTTCATGTTATGGAAGCCTTTGGGCTCGAATCAGACCCATGCTCCTCGAATTGAGCTTCAAAGTAGGCTTCACAAAACAGTTTTCTGCTTTAGTCATTTTCAGGCAGTTTTCAGCTTTCCAGATGGCAACTTTGAACGTTTGGAAAATGCCCTTCTAAACTTTCTCTCGAGCCACCAAGCATACCATCATGTAGATAAAGTTCTTATCTTTAAAACAAGCTATCAAACTCGAATTTTCATCAAGACAATTGAGAGAACTGTGCCTCCAAAGTCGGCTACTTGAACACGGAAAATGACTTGGACAATTTTCTATTTCTTTCTCGTAATTCGACTTAGCCTCTTTGACGATCAATCCTGGATGGAATTTGATCGATTCCAAGATTGTATCAGGATCCCCCTCTTTAAAAAGCTTTTCCCTCGAAGCTGGTGACTTCCTCTTCTCAAATTCGTCACCGAACTACTCCCATTGGATCAAAAGAAGGTTGTTCAAACTCCAATTTCTGTAAAAACGAAAACAGTGTTCTTGAGCAGCAAAATTGGGGCTTTTCGATTCCAGGATTCTCAGACCAATTCATTGCTTCCACAAGCTTAGTCATATGCCCAATCGACTTTCTAAACCATCCCTTAGCATCGAATCATGTTCATTCACGTCGAACCATCTCCTCGTCGTTTCCCGCCATTGCAACCTTTCAAAACCAGGGTACCCAATTCGATTTTGGGCGTTTTAGACTCAACAATCATCAAGTCGAATTGAGCGTGCCTAAATCTTCCCGCTGACCCCTTTGATGGTTCTGAAGCATGAATTCGGCTCGAATTGAGCTGGAGTACCTTGCGGAAGAACTTTTTTTTATTACTCACAAGCATACATGCATTTGTATACTTGGTTGTATTGTCAAGTCTATACGCCTTCAATTTTTATACCATATTCAAATATATGCCTTCAATTTTGAAACCATGCACAATTGACACTTAGTTGTATTCTTTAATCTATGGGCAAATGCATGTAGTTTATAACATAAAACTCCGATGGAGCTTTGCTTCATTTCACACTAACATGCAAGTAATTGTATCCAACTATAATTTTAACTCCAATATATTTTAAACACCTATGATTCTAGAAGTTCACACCATATATTGCGCTTTTGAATGTCAATGATCATAATTCATAATGCTAATGCCAGAGAACAAATGATACTGTTAATGGTGGATGTAGTAGCTTCGATAGTAGAGATGACGATGATCTTGAGAAGAAGAAAGGCATTGTTCACAATGAAGATACAAGTACCAATGATGAGGAGAAAAAATAAATTCTTGATATTGTCCAAAACTTGGAAAAGGTAAATTCTACTCCAATGAAAATGACTGGTATTTTTATATAGTTTACTATCAAATTTTTGTGCTCAATACAAATTAGGAAAACAAGGAAGAGATTATTGAAATAAAAGAGAAGAAAGAAGAGGAAATTGATAGTGGAGATAAATGCATAACTAACTGAGATGGAGACATCAATATTAGTGCATATTATGATGTTGCTCATGACGGAGGAAGTGCAAACAAGTCAAAAAGAAAATGTTTACTGACCTCTAGGTAGGGAGTTATAGTGATTACTACAAAATAGTAATCACTATGGTTACTAAGGGTAAATTGGATATGAAAAAAAATAAATTATATTAATTTTTTAATAAATTATATTTTGGGCAGTTACAAAAATCTATTAATCATAATTCTCTCTTTCTCTCACTTCCGTAATCTCTAGCCAGATCTCCTTTCCTTATTTTTCTCAATCTTTCTGGGGAAAAAAAACAAGAAATCACTATCAATCCATTAGGCAATCACTACCACTTCGGAAAACACCAATACCATTATAACAAAAAAAAATCAATACCAATCCAGACAACCACTACTACTTCGTAAAACACTACCATTGCACAAAACACCAATACCATTCGAGAAATAAAAACACTACCATTTCACAAAACACCAATACCATTGCGACAAAAAACAAACCAATGCGACAAAAATAATATCATTACTAGAATAATCAATACCACTACAAAAACTACCAATACGTCAAAACAAAACAATACCAATCCAAAAAATAGATACCAATCCTAAAAGAATACATATCATTCTCCACCCTCGCACCTCCATGCGCCACAAACCTATTAGAAGAAATTGAACCTCCTCCTCCCTGCATTCGCCGTAGCATCCCAATAACAAATCAAAATCGAGATCTCCGAAAGAAGAACGAAAGGGAAGATAGAGGGGGGATCGGGAGGGTGGGAGAGAGAGGGAGGGGGGATGGCAGGCGGAAGGTTGGTCAGCGCAAGCAGGCTGGCGGGTTGCGAAGGGAGTGAGAGAGATGGGCGGGGAGGGGAGGTGGTGGGTTGCGGTGGGGAGGGGAGGGGGGAATATGGTGGGCGGGCTGGCGGGGAGTCGCCGGAGAGGGAGGAAGGAAGTTGAGGGCAGGCTGGCAGTGAGTTGCCGGAGAGGGAGATTGAGGAAGGGGTTGATGGTTGGATTATTAGGGTTTGAATAATTATTTTAGTTTGAAATGATGTATAGAAAGTCATTTAAAGGTTAGTAATTTGGTATAGTTATTATTATTTTTCTAAAATTATCCCTAATCAATCCTAACGGTTAGTTTATAAATATTGAAAATGAATGGTACAGATGTAGGTAGCCGCGATGGTTCCTAAAAAAATAGTAATCATCCTAACTCGTCTCGTGATCTCTGACAATAAGGATTTATAAAAACGGTTATAATTTAACGAGATAAGAGTGATAGACAATTCAATCACCAATATATAGAACAAAAGAAAGAAAGAAAGAGAGAGAGAGATCAATTGAGTACATAAACTAGTAAATTATTGTTTAGGTAGGTAGCATTAAGAATTGTCAACATAAGATTCGTAAACCGGTGGAGGCAACCTGGGGATAGGGTGCACACTCAGCGGAACGGCACGCTGCAGCGTGAGCCCATAAGCCTCATCCATGTTGAGCTTCTCCGGCACAACACCGTCGGCTAGCTCCCAATCAAAGGCATGGACTAGCACCGCCGTCATCAGCTGAACCATCCGTAGACCCAAACTCATGCCCGCGCATATCCTCCGACCCGCCCCGAACGGGATGAGTTCGAAGTCACTACCCTTGACGTCCACGCCGGGCTTATCCCCTCCGGGCAAAAACCTCCCCGGGTCGAACCTTAATGGGTCAGACCATACCTCCGGATCGCGGGCTATGGCCCAGACATTGACGAGGAGTGTGGCACCCTTGGGGATGTGGTAGCCGTTGATCTCACAGCTTTGGGCTGCCAAACGAGGAAGAGAGAGAGGAGTGGAGGGATGGAGACGGAAGGTCTCCTTGATGACGGCTTGGAGGTAAGGCAAGTTGGGGATGTCTTGTTCGCTCACTAGACGGTCTCGCCCCACCACCGAGTCCAGTTCGTTTTGGAGTTGGGCAAGGATATTTGGATGTCGGATTAGCTCTGCTACGGCCCATTCAACTGTGCTTGATGACGTGTCCGTTCCGGCCGTGAACATGTTCAGAAGCAAGGCTTTGATTTCGGTGTCTGTGAGCTTGGGCCCCTCTCCGTCGTCAAGCTGCTTCAAGGAAGATAGGGAAGTCAAGAAGTCTAGGTGTGGCTGAGCAGAGGGATTGTGGGCAGTAGTCTTGCCGTGTTCCTCCAGGATGTGGCTGAGGAAGGTGTCGAGTCGGAGGTGAAGATTCTTCATCTTAGCCGCAACCCGCTGCAAGTCCAGCCATTCGAGGGCTGGGACGAAATCGCTAACGTTGAAAACGCCAGCCAGAACCATCAACTCCACCACCATTGCCTTGAACTCATCCGCCTTGGGGTCGATGCCGCCGGTAATGTCTCCGAACACTCTCCGACCCACCAGCACCCTGCCCAGCGCATTTGCTGTGCACACGCCAAGCACCTGCCCAAGTTGCACCGCCGCCTTACCTCCATTCGCTAATGCTCGGCTCAGGCCCGCTACTTCAGCCTTTTATTTTTATTATTGACAAACATGACAAAAAAACAACACAAAACTCTTAATTAATAATAACTTTTCAAACTTCACTCAGTATTATTTCATATTCATATAACTATTCATCACCAATAACTTTTGTTTCTTTAAATCATAATTAGTCTAGCAACAGTACTATCAATACTTAGTCTATCGGCAGTACTATCAATACCAATCTCATTTAATTATTAATCTAACTCTAACTATTAATTAATGCAACTAATTACTCAGTAAAGGTTTTCAAAAACAAAAATTTCCAAACCGCACCACTCATTTTTGTCTTAAGTGCATTGGTGGCTTGATGCGGTCGGTCAAAACTGCATTCACTCTTTTTTTTTTTTTTTTTTTTTTTGCGTCTTCAGTCTTAACCAAACCACACCACATATCTCATGAAATTTTGCATGATACACCTCGCTCGATCTGCTCACTGTAATTATTTTACCGGTTTCATTTTATTGTTCCAACTCCTATTTTTGTGGGTTCCCCCACACCCCACCACTAATATACAATCGTACATTACTTTCAGATGATCATAACTTTGTACGTGGTTAATTGACAGACAAACAAAATTTTACGAAATATAAATTTGTGAATCAATCAAATCATCGAGCTCAAAGTCGTGAGAGTCTAAAGTTGTTATATCTTATGATTTTGACTTTGTCGTCTCAATTTTTAGTTTGCTGTAAAAGTCAAGGATTAGGTATTCGGGATTCTAACCCCTTTTTTTGGTATAGAGAGATTGATTCTATCCAAACCAAAACCGTTCCGCACCCCAAGTTAATATTATGATGGATTAATAAGTTGTTGCTATATATAGTAGTGGTAGCTAGAACGTAGCAGGACGTAGCATAAGCAGAAACCAAGGAAACAGGCACCAAATTTCATGGAATTAGTAATAATGGAAGTATAATTTAATTTTGTTTTGATGAATCGTTAGCAAAACCAAGAAATAGATTATTATAATACTATTGTTAGTACCTGCCGGACGTGTCTAAAATCATCCAGGGCCTTGGCGGAGAAGAGATGGACGGCGCTGACTTTCCTGAGCAACCGCCAGCGTGGGCCGTAGGGTGCAAACACCATGTCCTGATAATTATATGCGATGTACTTGCCGCCGGAGCTGGGGGGCCGGTCGGAGAAGTTGGCGTCGTGGATCTTGAGGAACTGGGCCGCCACGGAGGCGGAGGCGGCCACCACCACGTCGACGAAGCCCAGCCGGAGGTACATGAGCGGGCCGTACTTGCGGGCTAGGGCGGCGATGGAGTGGTGAGGGATCGGGCCCAAGTGGGGAAGGTTTCCGACGATCGGCCACGGCGTAGGCCCCGGCGGTAGAGGCTTCTGCCCTCGCCCGCCGACGAGGAAGAGCTTGGTGAGGAGGAAGTAGACGAAGGTGGCCAAGGCAAGGCCGGAGACGATCGCCGTCGGGGAAGCCATGCTAGCTAATTTGTTTTTTTTTTTTTTTTTTTTTTTGACTGTTTGGTGTTGGGGGGTGCTCGATCTGCTTAACAAACGTTTGTTGCTGATATTGTTATGGTAAGAGGAGGAGATAGAGATTTATAAGGAATGTGGCCAAGGGGTGCAAATTGTAAATAGATGAAATTCTAGGATCGTCTGGGATAAGAAATAAATCAGGAGGTGGAGTTCAAAACTGTCGGCTAGGCCAGACGGGTAAGTAGGAGAAGAGAAGGGAAGAACGAGGGCCGGGGAGTAACTAACTACAAGACAGAATGAAATGAGAGTGGTAGGTAAGGTGATCGGTTAAGAATAGATCTATCTTCTTCTTCTTCGGGGAGGAGCTCTATTTATTTTATTTATATATATATGTGAAGGGCAGCTACACACGATCTCAAGGGGGGAGGGAAAATAAATTCTAATTTGCTTTTTCTCTCATTAATAACTTTAACAGACCACTCGTTGGCCCTCCAGTAGGTCATCTCCATTATTGTTGAACATACATAGCTCGAAGGCCCTTGTACACTCCAATTATACATTCAACGTGGTTAGTAGTGGCGATCCCGAATCTAACTCCATCATCCATATCGAATGTCCACATGTGTAGATTCTGTTGCTCAGCCCAAACCGAAATTATCAAGAATGTGTCATTTGTGTTCTAAAGTATCCAATGTAACTACTACGGATAGTTTGGATGCAATATTTGATGAGATATTTCTAAAGAGTTACTTCAATTGAAATAACTCGTTAGGCAAAAATAGAATGGAATATAATATTTTGTCCATGAGGCAATTGAAATAACTTATTCTTTTCATCCCTTCTTGAAGTGATGAAATACACCAATTATCATATTTCAAACTGAAATACCACATAACAAAAGAATGCAGCATTTTGATTCAAAATTCCAATCGATCCGCTAACCAATTATTACCTGCCCAATTTTCTTTTAGCCAAGATAGTTGAAGCATCAAGGAAATGTTACCCACTAGGGCAGATACTCGTTGATCTAGTTCTCTATTGTTTGTTAACCAACTCTCGTATTTTCCCATAATCTTCAATATCAACTGTCAAGGCCAATTCACTCCGAAAAAGCCAAGCTTGGTCTAATGATGGAATAGCACCTAAGAATAAAAACATTATTTCACCCTTATAAATAATATATGATTGCAGTCTGCTCATATGAATCAGAAGGAGAGAAAAAAAAATGAAAGTCAGGTTATAAAATGGAAGGGCAAGCCTATGACTAGGCCGACTCAGTGATCAAAAAACCAAAAGGTATACAATTGGAACAAACAACGGGAACCTTAATTATGAAGAACAGTAAGCACACTGATCCATTCAATTCAAGAGAGCAAGGAGAGGCTAATATTTCAGAAGAAGAAAGCTGTACAGAAAGAAGACAGTTTAGCAAAGCTCCTCCTTAAGCAATTGTCGCAGATAGTTCCAAGTTAGCTTCCTGAAGTGCTTTCATCACATTTCTGCATGCCTGCAAACCAAAACCAAAACCTCAGTGAGCCCAAATGAAAGATCGATCTACCATCCTTTGAATCAAAGGTATCAGCAGGCGTCGCTGCAGTGACCATGAAGAGATTCAAGAAGCCAGCAAGTAACTGACTACTCATTTCGTCAAAAAGACCACCTATGATCTTTCACAAACACAGCCGTCAACATAATTTGTAGCCAAGAGATTGCATTCACAATTCTGATATTGAACGACACAATTATACCACATTCACTATATCAATCTCAGTTCTCAAAACCACTTACTACACAATCACTACTCCTCAACTACAGATAGAGGCAGGATTATCTTGGGTGCACAATTCGCAGCACAACGAAGGAATCAAAAGGATGTAGCATAAATGAAGACGTCGCAAGCAAGTAAATGTAACTTACCCATCTAGCATTCATTCATCTTCTCAGTCTTCATCACTATCAAATACAACAGCTCTCCTGTGAGTATGCACCTTTCTAGGTGGGGAGTCCTGATCTGACTCGATCCCAGCTCTTCTATGACTACCTCCATACTCCTTGCCTCTCGGCTTTAGTTCCTGAAAATTATCACAAGAGAGAAGGTATTAAGTTGAGATATTTATTGTCTTAGGACAAGGAAAGGGAATGAGGAAGTAGAACCGTGAAATTACTGCAAAAAGATTCCTGCAGAGGTTTCATCAACTGTTATGCAGTAAGCATATTTTCACCAAACAGAAAGACTTTGCTGTTTTTCATTTTATTTATAGCTTCATTCTCTCCTTTCGGCAAAGTTCAACCAATGGTAGATATTAATTTTGAAACAAAACAACAAAAATCCCAAACTCAACCACTATATCCTTCTCTTTCCAAGCCAAACAGGAACATCGATGATAATTGACTTTTTATGATTGAGAAAAGCTACAACTGTTTCCTGCCAAATTCTCACTGTTGAACTGCTAAGAATAATCTGAAAAAATGTCAGCAACTATCAGTCTAAGTGACCAAGGGGCAAGGTGCACTAGGCAAAGGCACCCCAAGCCTAACCAAAGTTAATTGCGATGAGACATTTATTGACATGTACAACTAAACAGATGGTGCAGCGCAACGCACAAACAGCAAGCGCCTTTTGGACAGCTTGAATATTTCTAGCTTTTGCTCCTTGCGTTATCTGTGCCCCCCAAAACAAGGTAAAAAGCAACCAAGAGCATATGCTATTGGTTTCTTGTCACCCAGAAATTAGAGGTGATGAGCATATCACATACAGCCAGAAGGATGAAAAATATATGAATAAGGAGAATTAGAAATTATCGAATTTTCATTTAAATGATCTTTCTCCCCTCCTGCCCTTCCTATTGTCCGACCATTCAATGTTAATTCTCTCTTTGTTCTTCTGAAACCCTCGTCCATCATTCCTTTCTGATATCTGCCCGATGTAGACCACCCTATTTACCTGCTCATTGAACAAGATATCACACAAATCACACCAAACACACTCCTCTCTAAACCCTCGTCCATCATTTTTCTTATGGTGGTAGGTTGTTTGGCATAATGTTGAATACTTGCAGGAAAAAGAGCCTTGAGACAAATACAGACTACAAAGATGGCTCGTCCATCAGGTGGTATCTAATAACATAGATTTCCATTTGAAGCATCCAGAAGCCTTTTATAAGAAAATCTGCAGTCGGATAACTTAGCTTTCCCCACCGTACGACGGAGATGATATGATACACACTTGTAAGTGAATGCTCTCCAGCTACTTAGAAAGAAGGACTTCAAAACGTGCAGCAAGATTCAAGACCCTCGACTTTGTCCAACTTTATAAAACAGCAACCAAATATTGCAACCCCACATCAAACACAATGCAATCACATTTTGAAAGGAACATTATACTGGTTGTTGCCTCTAGTTTTCATGTTAGCATTACTCAGCTATTCGAAGGCAAAACGTGAAGTAACTGTAAAATATAATCATACCTCAGCTTCCTCTTCTTCCTCTGAGGCACCATCACCTTCTACCTCTTCTTCATAGCGCTCTTCTTCCTCTTCCTCATCTTCTTCGTATTCCTCCTCTGGTTCTTCAAACCTCTTCCTAGGAGCAGGTCTCCCATCTTGATACTCATCACTTTCATAATCAGATTCCTCTCTCTCACTGTCCTCGAAATTCACGGGGCGCTTGCTCGATTTAGCCATAGGCAAAGACGACTTGCGTAGGAAGTCTTTGTTTCCCTGTTATTGTTAATGAAAATGTTCCAGAGAATCAGGGTCAACCATAAAAAAGGTGATCTTTATATGGACTTGACAATTTGAGACCTTCTTAGCATTCATAATGCGCTTCTCTGCTCGAGCTTCCACTTCCAGGTCTTCCTCAAAGCGGCGACGAGTCCGACGAGGATCAGAATATTCGTGTTCTTCATCCTGGTAAAAATTAACACCAGCAGGTAAGATGCAAATGAAAGCACCAGCAGACGCACATATAGAAAAGAACATTACCAACTATTTATTAGAGAAAGGTTTTAAGTATCTGAATCTGGAGTCCAAGGAAAATCTTTCACCGACATATTTAACAAATAATATAATTTACGGTGGTAATATAGATGTATACAGAAAATTATTAGTATATATACAAGATAAAACAATACCTCGTCAAGAGCACCCTCTAAGAATCCAGTTGAAAGTTGATGCTTACGCTCTACTACAGGGGTATATTTCCGGCTAACCTTTTCTCTCTTCCGATTAAGGAGTACGTTTGCCCGGATTGTTTGACTTTCAGCCTGTGAGACCATAAAATTAATACAAATCAGTACCTGTAACAATTCCAACCAGATACATGACTCAAATCTAGAGCTACTTCTTACCCTCTCTTTCTCCTCCTTCTCTCTCTCAGGGTCAATGTCAGTAATGCAATTCTTAACCTTGTAAACTTTCCTATGCCGTGAGTCAACAAGGGCAGTCAATAGCCTGTGAGATTTTGATGACAACGAAGATGGCATGAACTTCATCTTCCTCAATATTCTTCCTTGTGATTGAAGAAGGGACTGAAATTAAAGATGGAGAGTGCAGTCAGGCGAAAGCTTGTCCCAAACAACAACCTAGAAATCAAGCCTATGCATCTGACAACAGTACGCATGAAACAAGCACTTGTGTCATCTGGATCTGAAGCTTGATGATTCCATTAGCATAAGTGCATAAGCACAAGAGATTACATGAGAAACAAAATCAAAATGCAGATTCAAAATCCCAGATATGTGCAATAGCTTGAATAATGCTAATCCTAAACTCTCAAGTCATAATATTGCTTGCTCATACAACCTTAGCGTATTGGCCTTGCTCATAAAGGGAACTCTGTGACAATAGCATCAAAGGAATCGGTAACAGAAACCTCATTGTATTTAGCTTGGAAGCCAGCCAAGATACTATATCCACCAAGCCAACACCCCAGAATACTGTAGAATTTTCTATGCAGAAGAAGGGAAGACCAAACAAGACAGTAGCATTTTACAGAGCACTTCTATTGTGCAAAAAAGAAAATTATGCCACATGATTAAAGCAAGGGGCTTGTTTGGGCAGAGAATAGAGAGAAGATATTAAAGGGACAGCGAACCTCCATTAAAACATAAAGTCAGACATCATAGAAGTTAATCAAGATATTGCAAAATTACCTAGAAGTGATGAAAAAAATGAAGCTATATGCCAAAGAAACTCCAAATCACCTTATTGTGTCTAAGGAAGAGGTGTGTTTGGTCATGCTGTGCATCCTGTACAGATATATCAAGAACCTCATTCCCAATTAATAACTGCAAACTGCCATCTGACCACCTGACGAAGCGAGCATTACTTTCAATCTACATGAACAAAAGACAATTTGTAGTGTAAGCAAATGGAGTAAGAACATGTAAGACCAAGTAGGTTGGAGCCTGAATAATATGTTTCCACTACACAAAGTACAAATAAGTTACCATTTATTCTTATTACCATATACGAGGTTGAAAGAAGAATGCCACAATAAAAAATGCCAGAGATGTAAACATGAAATGGCATAAATCATATCACCATAGCCAGCAAGCTTCCTCTAGTTATCATTACGGATGTCATTAACAGTTAAGCAAGAAAGCTAACGTCAGTTCATCTATCATATGTGTTACCGACTACTCAAAGAGGTGAAATAAAAGGAATCTACTAACAGAAGTTGTGCCGTTAGGATTTTTGACACGCCGCCAGCGCACAATGTTATTTTCCAAGCGGATGCGCTTTCTAGCTCCAGATTCATCGGTGACAAATGTTTTCTCCTCCTCATATGTCTTGGGATCAAATGGTTGGGCCTCAATACCCATTATATTGGAAACTTTGATTAAATTCATCTGCAAGGAATAACATTGCTTTGAACTACAACCGAAAAGGAGAATTGACTTCAATAAATCAAAATGGGACAGCAATCACCGAGTACATTGATGGTGACTACAGAGCATTCTGAAACTGCAGACAGTAGCAACTGTTCCCATTCAAATATGAAGTGCAAAGGACATATAGTTTGTGAATGCACACGATAATTGAGCACGGGCACAAGGATTCAAACCAGTTTCACAAGAAATCAGGTGGAAGAATGACGTCAAGAAACAGTCTGTGGACAGAAAGAAGACCACATGCATCCCATTGCTACTATTCAATGAACCCAGGTAACAGTTTTCTTAAACAATAATTTTAAGTCATAGGGAATCCCAACTTCAATTTAACTGGAAAGAGGAGGAAGAAAACTGTTGAGTGAAACAAAGCCTCTACATAGAAACGGAATCTTGAAAAGTAGTTCTCAAGTAAATTTGAAATCGATTTTCCTTTCCGCATTTCAATAACAAATCACATTTTGCTTTACTCGGATAAGGATGCTGATTTCCTATTTAACCACTGGGCAAATCATGAAAAGTAATAGAAGCCCGGTGCCATTATAGCTAAAAATTGTACCCTAGTTGGATGGGCAGGAGCTGCTTGAAATGGAATCTCCAGCTCCAGTGGCGGACCAACAGGCCTTTCCCTTTGTTTGACCTCGACATTCTCCTCCTCTGACTCATATCGGCCATCTTCATCAACTAGCATGTCTTCAGGTCTTAGACTCTTCTCATAGCTTCCTTCGTCTTCCATGGGAGACATCTACAAAATCAAAATATTAAGCATCATTATGATCCTCACATCTTCTAATTTTATTTTCAATAAATCTACATAGATAAACTCATTGATGAGTATGCTCACATGAGAATCTGGCTCGAGGTCATTTTGAACAGCATATCCTGCCTCTTCCTCGTCATCAGAGTCACCAAAAACATCACGTATTTCAGCAGCTGAGTGTGATATGTGAGTTTGGTCCCTCTCCTCCTCAGGTGATCTGCTGCAATGATGTTAGTATTTCTATGAAACTTGACAAATTTCAACAAGAATATACATGTCCTAATTAGTAACATCTTAAGAAGATTTTATAGGCTGAGGTGCATTTAGCAAACCAGAATAAGCGAACCTTGGATTTCCAACTTGGTCTATTTCCTCATCATCATGGTCAGCATAAGGTTGCTCCTCAGATCTCTCAGACTCACTTTCAAGCACATCACGTCTTCGACTGGTGACAACCCTCTGACCATACTGATCTTTCTCATCACTTTCTGCATCTTTCTCTTCACTCTCTTCTCTCGGATCCTCCACGTCCACTTCCTCCGAACTTGGCTCCCTTTCGCCCTCACTTTCTCCAGGATCAGGCTCTACCTCACGCATTTCACCTTCACTCTCAACGTCAACATCAACATCTTCCTGCTCCTGCTCCTCCACTTCACCTTCACCCTCATCATCAACCCCGTTCCTCAGTTCTCCCTCAGCTTCATCCTGGAGGAAGAATATGAAAGTAAAACAATGTATATTAATCGCCACGATTCAACAGGTAGCCCTTGTCAGAGGTAATATATCTTCCTTCCTCATCCACTTTTAGAAAATACAAGGACAGCATTGGTTCGAGACAATCTTTTAAAGTCACAAAACCAGTACGAGGGCTCGTAATATTTATCTCATCTTCAAATTACTTTCAGCATCATATTCCTAAAGTCTTCCTTTCATTAGAATTAGAACACAGCACAAGGACAGTTTGCCTAAAATGCTTCCCAACTTATTAATTACCCATCCTTTCAGAAAACAAAGATGTGTTCCTCAGCTGAAGATTGGCACAGAGAAGCCCAGAAAGCAAACTAAAAACTAGAATATCCGGATTTAAATTGATGCAATCCATCAACAGTCAGACAAGCACCAAACATCAACCCCGCTTTTGGATTATACAAGAATGAGTCATAAAACGTCGATAAGGAAGATAATCTCCAGAAGCATTCAGTACCCTGTTATTCAGAGTCTAAAGCTCCCGAACAATAAAGTAATGGTAATTGGTAATCCAAGCAGATAAACAAACCGGTGAAAAAATTACAACGGACTCGCCATTAAACCGAAACAATCACACTATTCCATACAGAAGAAAAGCGGACCAGACAACAAAAAACAAAGCACGCTCCAGAAAGCAACAATTGCGGAGGAGGCCGATTAAGAGTAGTTAATGGGAGAGGGAAAGATTGGAGTGATCACCGAAGCGTAATTAGGCTGAGGATTTGATTCGTGCTCGGAATCAATCTCCTCCTCTTCCTCCGATTGATCTCCGAATAGGTTCTGCATCATCTGATGCCTTTTCTCTTCGCCCCCCATCTTACCCAGGTCTCCTGTCTCTGCTTCCCCGTCGTCGGCCGTGGGAAACACAGGCGGCTGCGATGGCCCTCTTATGGTTTTGTGGTTTGCACGATATTATTCGGAGATCCTTCTATGTCTTATCTCTTACCTCCAGCGGCCTCCTCTTCGATCCGCCGTGGAGTGAGTTTAGAATCACAAAATAAAAGTGTTAATACCACTACAACTGTACAACACCCGAATTGTGACAAAAATGTCACTTGTATCTTATTCTTTTGGCAAAATACACTTGCATAGCCAAAACTTTCACCTTTGTGACACTTATAGCCACATTTGGCGAAATACCACTAATAGCCACTTTCGTCCGATTCTTTAACGCTGTTAACGTTAAGTGTGACTGGGCAAACGGAAGGGCTTACGTGTCAAGCCTGCGTTTTACACGTGGATAATAATTAAAAAAAAAAAACAAAATCCCTAATTTTTTCACCGTCGTCGTTTTCTACTTTCTATCTACTCCATCGTTTTATCCTCAGTTGCTTTCACCCACCCATATTCGAAGCGACGAAGGTTTCGAAGCGACGAAGGCGACGAAGGCATTTCAGTCGACGAAGGCGGCGAAGTCAACGAAGGCAACATTCTGCCTCCGACCACCAGCATACCCGACCTCTCTTCCTTCCCCACCATCGAAATTTCGAAAAACCTCCAGTCCCGATTTTTCCTCCAGTCCCGTTTTTCCTCCTTCGATAAAAACATCCATGCATCCAATGGGTTGACCAACCGGCGGCGTGCTTTGGCGGAGTCCTTCGAAGCAAGCTTTGTGTTGTTTTCTTTGAAGGAATCTCGGAATCGACCCTTGGAACGGGGCGATTTGACTGGGTTCGTCGAAACCCTAATCGCACTTGAAAGGGGGATTTTTGCTCCCACTCTTGTGTCGCGACTGGTAAGGTTCTGTTCTTTCTTTGTTACTGTGGTTGTGGATTGTGGGGTGAAGGTTCTTATAGGGACTCTGCTTCTCTTTGTTGTTTGGTTGGTATTGAGCTGTAAAGACAAGAAAGCGACAAGGCAGAGGAATCTCGGGACCACTCGATTGATCATTTTTTGGCGAGTTTGCCCCCATAATTGAAGGTCAGTTAGTCGATGTGCTGGGTTAGAATTGTCTATTCCTCTTTCATTTCCACGAACCCTAGAATTGAATACTGTTAGCATTTGTTTACCATTTGTTTGATAGCGATTAAAATAGTGTGAGCATTGTTTAATCACGTGGTTAATGGTGATTAATAAACTGATTAAAACTTGATGACAGATGGCTGATTCTTGGGACTCTGCTTTTGGGGAGAACGATCCAGAGGCTGTGGTAGTATCAGATTTCTCCTTGCCTGCAGAAGATGGAATTGAGGCTTCTGTTGCTAGAGACATATACCACGTATATGACTCAGACGACGCTGATACTTCTGACGACGAATATCACGAAGCAAGGTCAAACCTACGAGCCTATGGGGAGATGAGGAAAAGGAAGGTTAAGGCGCGGATTGATGGCCATGGGGAGGAGGTCGAGCAATTAGATGATTTTGTAGAAGAAGAATCTGATGATGAAGATGATGCTTTGGCTGATGAACACGAAGAGGAAGATCATGCTGCCTCTCATGCTAATGAACGCGAAGAGGAAGTAGCTGTTGGCTCTCATGCTGATGAAGGAGTCCAAGCTAGTGAAGCACCTCAAGTTCAGGAAACAAGGGGAGAAAACTCAAACCACTCAAGTTATAGAGGATCTGAAGACTCAAACCACGTCAGACCTAACCTATCTGACTCGGATGGTAGGGAATTGTTCGATGACGCACCGCTTTATGATCCGCTTTGTGATCATACTGTTCTGGAGTTCGTGCCAAGGTTGAAGTTTGCTAGTGCTGTGGAGTTCAAGGCTGCTGTCGTCCGTCATTCTGTAGCTGTCGGGGCTGGTTTGAGGTGGCTTAGGAGTAATCCAACAAGGAGGGAGGTTAGATGCAAGGACACGAATTGCAAGTGGAGAGTTTATGCTAGCTGGTTCCGCAAGAACCAGAGTTTCATGGTGAGGAAGGCTGGTCTGCCTCATTCATGTGCAAGAAAGCTTCGTGTCAACCAAGTAACTGCCCACTGGATTGCGAGTGACATGTTAGAACGGTTTAGAATTAATCCTGAGTGGGCCCCTGATCAAATCATGGCCGAGGTAAAGCTTAAACACAATATGGAAGTTGCTAGAAGAACATGTTATAGAGCAAAAGTTGCTGCAATCAGGATGCTGGGAGGTTTAGTGGAAGCTATTCATGAGCTGCTGCCCGAAGCAGAACATAGAAAATGCGCAAGGCACGTATACGCAAACTGGAAAGTCAAACACAAGACTGATAGAGTTAGGAAATTATTCTGGAGGGCAGTATACTCTTGCAATGAAGCTGATTGGAAGGCTGCTACTTCTGAGATTGAGGCAATTGAACGTGAGGAACGAGGTACGACACCATTTACTGATTTCATGAATGCAGAACCTCGAACGTTTTGCCGGGCTTATTTATCTCCTCTACCAAAGTGTGATTCGGTGGAGTCAAATATTTGTGAAACATGGAATGGTGTAATTGTGAAGTACAGGTGCATGAGAATAATAGACATGTTAGAGGGGATTAGGGGCTATGTGATGGACAGGGTAGTAGCCAAATATAAGTTGCTGCATGAATCTACTGATGTGCTATGCCCTAGAATTAGAAAAAGAGTCGAGAAAGAGAAAGCATTGTCCCGATTGTGTATGTCAAGACAGACTAGGAACGATCAGTGTGAGGTTAAGATGGGAAGTGCAGGGTATATTGTTGATTTAGGTGCAAAGACTTGCACTTGTGGGTGGTGGTCATTGAGTGGCATTCCATGTTGCCATGCTGTTTCCGCCATTTCACATCTGAGGAAGGAGATTGACAGCTTCGTAGATACAAATTATTACATCTACAATGCTGAGCATGCATACAAGAATGGAATCCCTTGTCTAGACGGTAGACAGGCTTGGCCTACTGCAGTGGGATATCCAGTACACCCACCCAAGCAACGAACTATGCCCGGCAGACCAAAGAAGAATCGAAACAAGGCTGCACACGAACAGGAGGTTCGCCCTGCACGTAATGGGACGGGAGAGGAGGTGGTTAGAAGGGGATCAATCATCCATTGCAAGAAGTGTGGCGGGGAAGGTCACAATGCGAGAACGTGTACAGCTCCTACTCAGGTTGCCCAACAGGTATGATGTCATTTCAGTTTTATACACGATTGCATGGTTTCTAATTAATTGTTGTTTCTAAGCTTTTTTCTCCGTTTTCTTTGGTAGCGAAACACCACTACACCTAGAGCAGCAACACAACCTACAGGAAACAATGGAGCGAGAGGCAAACGACCAAGAACTGCAGCAAATCCAGTAAACAACGACAACAGAGGTCAAAGAGCAAGAGTAGGTCACTGCTCCAAGTGCGGTTCTAGTACGCATAATGTACGAACATGTCCTCTAAACCGAGGAGTTGGTATACAAGTAAGTTGAATGGATGTGGCTAGAATAGGCAGATTACTTGAGTTGATGGATTTGAAGCCTCAATTATTGATGAATGTTCGTGGTTGTGCTTGCTATGGTAGGACGTTAGGCTGAATGTTGCTGATCGGAGGACTGTTGAACGCGAGATGCGCGTTGCCACAACCGGAGTTGGAGTCTACGTGTCAGAGCAGACTGGGAACCAATACGTTAGAGTAAGTATAACGGTTAAATGCTTGTTGTTATTATTGATGAATGTACTGCCTGATTTTTAGGCTACTATTTCAGCTCAATGGAGCGAGAGGACGAGCGTTTGGAACCACGCAGCCCACTGAGGTCCAGATGAATGGAAGTCAACCCCCTCCCTCGCAGCCTTAGAACTGTATATCCAGGAGTCATCTAATGTTTTTTGTGCAAGGCCATTAAGCTATTAGCTACCTCGCTAGAGGTTTTTTTGGATAGATGACTCATGTATTGGCCTTTTATGAACACTGTCGGAGTATGTTAGTATGTTTGGTAGGCAGACTAATGTAATGTAATGCTCAGATTAAGAAGAACTCGGAGTATGTTGATAGGCAGACTTATGTGTAATGTTTTGCTCGGATTATGAACAAGTCGGAGTATGTTAGGCTACTATGTAATGAACAACTACGATTGTCTTATTGATTATGAAACTAGGGGATCTCAAAATCTCTCACCAAATCTTCATCCATTCGTTCCATACAGAGAGATTTACACTATAGAGATCTCCTTGATGAACACTTGCATAGTCAAATTACATCAATTCGTTTCATCCATTCGTTCCATACAATTGTCGAATTACATCAACAATGTCGATTAATTTCCTACCACATAATAACATGGTGCAACATAAGAACGACCAATATTAGGTTAAGTAAGACAATCAGAACCAATAAAGCTCGAATTACATGGATTTCATTATTAACTCTCTTTCCTTCAGCTAGCATAATTTCATGTGCCATCATCCATCTTGATAGCTCTTCAGCCAGAAGTTTCTTCTCCTTCTTCCTCCTTTCCGCCTTACACTCAGCTAGCCTCAAACTTTCTTCAATATTCAAAGTCGACAGCCCAATTTCAGAATCATGGTGCTTATCTTCATCGACATTCATTCGCACCCACCTAAAAAAACGACAGTTCTTCTTCTCGTCCTGCACCATACGAGCATTCAACTTAGAAGGAGAATCAATGACAATCATCAAAACCCATTTATAATCACCTTACCATCCAAAATGGACACCCATAGAACTGTCTTCCTGGGTTCGCTTCGGTTCCAGATGTATTCACCACACATGGCTTCTTGTGCCAACAAAGTACCACCCCTCGGCTATTGATGCTAGTCAAAGTTGAGGAAGATGCTCGCTTGGACATGGCTGACCTTCGCGTGAAGTTCTGGGAAGGAGAATCGCGATTTCGGGTTCGAGAATCTGCCGAGTAGAAGTGGGATTTCGGGTTCGAGAATCTGCCGAGCAGAAGTGGGAAGAAGCGCCGAGTCAGAGCGTACTAGAAAAGGATTTGGGGGATAGGAGTAAGCTTCGATCAGCTTCGTGCATCTCCTTCGTGGGGAAGATGAAATTTGGGAAGAACCCTAATTTCGTGAAGAACCCTTCGTTTTCTGGAAATAGATGGTGAAGAAGAAGCCTCGACAGATGTTTTCCAGATAGAGAACGCGAGTTGCTTGCCCTAATTTCGTGGTAAATTTCTGGAAATAGATGGTGAGAAGAAGAAGCCTCGACAGACAGAGATGGAGAAGATTTGCTAGCCCTAATTTCGTTTCGATTTCTGGAAATGGATGGTGAAGAAGAAGCCTCGACAGATCGGGTATATGGTTTAATGTGGTTGATGACGTGTCAATTTTTTTTTAAATAAATTACGAAAGATGACGTGTCACTTTTTGCTTAGCTGTCGCTTATGTGGTTGATGATTTGGCGCCTCGTCAGCAAACCGTCAAGTAAGTTGACGGAGTTATCAACACCGTCAAAGTTTCTAACGGAAATGGCTATATTTGGCACAGAACATCTTTCAAAAGTGGCTATGTTGATGCCAAGCTAAAATAGCCGACCTCGTACGTTGTAGAGTCCGGAGAGCGTTGACCTTTTGATTTTCCGTTGGATTCCAGCTTTCGAGATGAATACCTGCAAAAGAGGACCCGCCGGTTGTGGTCGGCTGGGACCTTCTCCAAAGCTCAAGTCAGTACTTGGAAATAACAGGGAGCGGTGTATAGAACCGGCTCTAGGGAGAAAGAAAGAGAAATTTTGGGGTTGGAAGTTGCCAATTCGCCGAGAAGAAGTTCGTCGGGAATTCCCCTTTTCCTATCTCGTTCAGAGAAAATGAGTTCCCTGGAATTGAGATGGATCGCCGAGGAAGCAGAAATGAACGACCTATTTATAGGCGCATCCTGCTCCTGGCGGGGTGGCGTATCCTTTATCAATAGTGATTTAAAACATCAAATAACAAATGAAATTAACAACTTAATTAATGGTTTGAGAAACTTACCTGGGACGTGTAAGTGCATGCATATGGCTAGCAAATTAAAATGCCAAAGCTC